GTTGTGTTGTGTGTGTGTGTGTGTGTGTGTGTGTGTGTGTGTGTGTGTGTGTGTGTGTGTGTGTATGTATGTGTATGTGTATGCATGTGTATGCGTGTATGTATGTGTGCTTATGTGTGCATGTTCGTGTGTATATGTGTATTTATGTGAGCGTATGTATATGTGTTTACACGTATGTATGCATGTGTATATGTGTGTATGTTTGTGTGTCGTATTAGAATCAACTAAATCTTAACACTTAGAAATCTATCCGGAATCTATGCACCGTTATACAGCCGGAAGATGTTATATTGTCATAGATTCCTTTATGTCATTTGTTATTGTTGATTATTTTGAATGGAGTTCAAAATTTCGGCATTAATCACACAAATAAAAATGGAGAAGGAGGGGAGAGGAAAGCGTAAGAAACAAAATGTGTCACGAGAATAAGTGGCAGGACTTGGCCGAATAATAATGGCCAAATTGACGAGCTTCTCTGTTTAATAATGCTTTAATTTTCTGTATAAAGAGAAATATTCTACATATTAACGAAAAAAAAGAAAAGAAAAAAAAAGAAAAACGTCATTCGCGATACCGAAAAAAATATATGATTCAATAAATTCAAATAGTACTTAATCCGCTTAATGTAAAATATTTTCATATTGATTGGCTTATGATTCATTTGTACGACACAGTTTTTGTTTCATTAATTTTCATTTTATTTATCCTTCTTTTTCTTCATTCAATATCCATCATTTTGAAATTAAGTAATGAGTTGACTTCTTCATAAATGAATTGATAGATTGGCGAATCAGACTAAATTGCTAATTTGCTAACTGCTGAGAAGACAGATTCATTCGAGTGAGCAAAATATCAGGAACATTAACTTGCAAAATTAAAATTCCTGTTTGACTTATTAAGGTTGCAAAAGAATAAATAAGTACAATTCGGCCGACATTGAGCGCTTTTTGTGACATATAGACTGTTCAATGCAATACATACTTATGAGTTGGAATTATGGATATTAAGGCACTTTTTTTTGAATTAGAAAAAAAATAAACGACATAAGTTAAACGGAAGAGAAAATAAGTGGGAGGACAACAGTATGACTCATCTATACACAATTTCATTTTTTATTTACGTTAGAAGTGCAACTTCAACAGAACAATTCACGGTTAGTTTCTTAGCATTGATATGCTGAATTAATATACCTCCACCGATCGTTTGAATATTATTCAACAGTCAGCTTGATAAAGACTGCGCAAAGTGATTATAGAAGATTGAAATAAAGTTTATTTTCCAGATGTGAATATCCCTATGCTCCTATTTATTTTTGTTAACTGAAATTAAACTATAGAAAACATCATTGTGACAATATGACAACTTGGGTTGAAAACTTATAACAATTTTATGCTTTTTCACTATTTTATCCTTCTTTAATGCTTTTCTTTTGTATTCTTATACTTCAATCAATGTTTTATTTATCTGATACAAGCTATTCTCCTTTAGTTTTATTGCATAAATTAATTTCTAGTCGTGTCAGTTTGCTCTGTTGAAATGAAAGAGCATCGTATTCGGTTGGATTGCATTTTAAAAAGGAAAATAAATGTGGTCAATTAATTGTAACGATACGGATTTTTCTTACTATACCTTTTAAATTGGATCTTCCAGTAGAATGTTTTCGAGTTCTGGTAGAAATGGTTCACGAAAATCGGTGGAAATAGAGTTGACTCGGTATTTACAAGGTAAAATAACATATTTCAGGGCATTTAGAAGTCAGATGGAGCAGTGAAATATTTCCCGAGGGAAAGTTTGCTTGTTCGAAATTATATGACAAACCTATGTGCTTTAAAAAAAAAGCAAAAAAAAACTACCGGTTGAAATAGAATGTAGCATTCGATTCGAGCTCGAAAGCTAACTGATAATTACCATATTGCTTTCGTTTGTGCAATGTTAACCTCGATGACGGAAGAAATTGGTTTATTTCAACAGTTTTGAACATTCTGATAACGAAGTTTGATGCTTATTTATTTCAGGGCACTCAATTAGCCAAATCTGTTTATCAGTATTGATCTAAATTTAATCGGCAGAAATCAGGAGAGTATTCTCCATCCAATCATTTGGAACATTAAATGGATCAGCAGAGAAATAGTACAACAGAATCGTCTTCATCTAACACTACAACTCTTAGGCATAAATAATTCATATTTAAGATCCACATAAGTAATAACACTGCGGTAACAGCTGTATGAGTACATAATTGAACTTAAGGTAGTAGACAGGTTACAAAAGCTTTCCACGAATTCTAAGAGAATCGTTGCTGTGATAATCTTTCTTAAAGAAACTTCAAGAACTATTTTCAAGCGAATGAACTAATGATGCAGTGATCCTGCATTTCTTCTACTTTGAATTTAACTTCTTTTATGATGTAATAAACTGAAGTTTTAAATTGGAGGAGTTTGTGCTATCAATGTAATCATGATATGGTAAATTTCACCTCTATGGAATCAATATGAATAGTTATTGCATGAGCAATGTTTTTAATAGTTCATCTCCCTTCTATTGCATCAGTCATTCTATTCGATCAAATTTAATAAATTAACAGAATTTTACAAACAATTACTATACAGTCTTGTTTATTAAGTTAGTATAACATTGAATAGTTATTGTTATATCAATCAGATGAATTGATTCATTTGATAAGAATATTACTAGATGGACCAAATCATGACCAACATTAATTCTAACCTTTCCATCAATAAGCTTGAATGTAGCAGGATGGTTTATTATCACAATTAAGAACAATTTTATATACCAAATTTCTTCAAACGTATCACTCAATTTCTTTTATTTTTCAAACTATTCAAGAGAACAAAATTAAAGAATTAATTAATCACATAATGAAAAGCAATCAACGATACGTTATCATTCATTCTTTCACTATCAGTACAAGAAATATCATTAATCCATTATAAGTATGAGCTTTTTCCGCTTCTACTGCAATCACTGTTGCGCCACAACATGGACAGCAGTAGTTCATCATTACGACTACATAATCATCAATTGTTAAAGTGCTCTTAATGAGAATCCATTGACGCTTTTCATTATCGAAATGAATAAATGAAATGCGCTAAGGGGAATTATTTATACTCTTAATATAGCACCTTAGATGACTCTTTGTTTATTCTCTATTATATCTATACATTGATATCCACATATATATATATATATATATATATATATATATATATATATATATATATATATATATATATATATATATATATATATTATTATTATTATTATTATTATTATATTAT